GGGGCTCGAACCCGCGACAGCCAGATTAAGAGTCTGGTGCTCTACCGACTGAGCTAACCGGGCCACTGGTACTCGGCCGTTACGTCGTAAGTAAATAAATATTAATTGAAACATTCCCTATTTGACTGCTCTTCCCCTCCTCCCTCCCTCCCTTTCCCGCATATATATATTTTCCCACATATGTATCGTATAGAGGAAGTATACGTACTTATATGCATATATTAACCCCCTTATATATACTTTTGATCAATTCCTTTATATATTAATTTCACTGGACTTCGTCAGTACGACGGTCAATGCTGCTGTTAAATTTAGGAGATATGTATGTGCATAAATTAAGAGCAATTGTAAAATGTATTTGTATGCGCATGTGTACCACTGCAAATGTATGTTGGTTCGCAGCTCTGTTATATTTTTACCTTTCAAAAAGTGATTACACGTTCACGGCGGAGTACTGGTTGACTTTTCAGCTTGTTTATTTTTCATTTTCCGATCAATTTGCCGGGGCAACAGTGCAGTGGAATGGAAAAGAATGTTCATGTTACGATGATGATGCTACCTCCTTTCACTGATTTCCTTTAAAATGTGCTCACAGCAACTGAACTTTAGTCTTTCCAATCGTCCGCGCATTTCATTTCCTACAGATGGCAGTGATACCGAAACGGTGGCACTTTTTCTTTATCAGTTTGTTAACTCATGATGTACGTGCTGCGCTGACTCCACTTCACTTTTTTTAGTAATTTACAACAAAATGCGTTCGCAGAGCTATTTCCCGGTAAAACATACTCAAAATCTGACCTTTGTTCGATCACTCGGCGGCTGCATTCTCATTTGGTAATCTTCTCATAAATAATATACTCTATCATTTCCTGAAAATGGTAACATTCGAAGCGAATGAATGAAAATCACGATATGGCTAAAGTTTTGCCAAAGTGCTTCTTAGCCCGCAAAGTTCTTCCAGAATTTGAAACAAATGCTTGGATTTGGCTAACTGAAAATCACTATAGAGTAAATGTTCTAGAAATTTTAAAGATATAAACAGTGTAGTAAAATCATCCAAACTCATGTATGTACGCATATTCGTGTATGTGAGTACGTGTGTGTGTGTGTGTGTGTGTGTGTGTGTGTGTATGTATGTGTGTGTGTTTTCGTGTAAAAGTGTTTGTGAGTATGCGTAGATATAAAAATTGATTCCATTGTTCTAGTGACACCCCATCCAGCATTTTCTTCCGCAAGGTCTTTTCTTCAGTTTTTTTACTCCCTCCGGCTACACACTTTCATCTCCAACACTCCTCCTATTTTCCCTTTAAATACTATAGTTCCTTTTTTATTCAAGCAGTTCACCCATTTATTGCTTTATAGCGCAACTTAGCAGTTCTTGATTTTGAAAGATACACACATCGTTCATGAATGTGTGTGTACATATGCAAACGTATATGTGTATG